CTACACGACGCTCTTCCGATCTCCCCAAAACCCCAAAACCCCGCATTCTCGATTTTTGTGATTAGAGATTTTTATTAAAATAGTATAAATATTCTTATTAATTATATGGCAACTGCCGTCGAGAATAATTAGATCGCCAGTGGATAAGACTTGACATAGAAAACAGAGCAGGCAAGCACTGAGATATCTAGAAATCCGATAGTTGACGATCAAATTAATAAAAAGTCTATGCAAAATACCTTAAATTAGACTTCGAACAATAAATAGTAGGCAAATAATAGCGCTAACAGGACAATAGGGCACTATGTTGTTGGTAAAATAAATAAAATGAGTTATCTTGATAGGTAAAACTTTGGGGCAGGGTACATTTGGAAAAGTTCGACTTGGGACTCATACTTTAACAGGCGAAAAAGTTGCAATTAAAATACTGGAGAAAGATAAAATATTAGACAAAGCTGATGTTGAGAGAGTAACAAGGGAGATACATATACTCAAAATAGTGAGACATCCAAATGTAATTCAGCTTTATGAAATCATTGAAACTAATCGCTAATTATTCCTCATCATGGAGTATGCGAATGGAGGTGAGCTGTTCGATTACATTGTGAAAAGAAAGAGACTTTAAGATAAAGAGGCATGCAAATTCTATTAATAATTACTGTCTGGGATTGAATATCTCCATAAAATAAAAGTGTGTCATCGTGATTTAAAGCCAGAAAATCTTTTACTAGACGAAAATAAAAACATTAAAATTGTAGACTTTGGTTTGAGTAATACCTATAAAGTTGGCGAGACTTTGAAGACTGCTTGCGGTAGTCCATGCTATGCTGCTCCTGAAATGATAGCAGGAAAAAGGTATCATGGATTGAATGCAGATATATGGAGTTCAGGTGTAATCTTATATGCTATGGCCTGTGGATATTTGCCGTTTGAAGATCCAAACACAAATAAGCTATATAAAAAAATCTTGAGTTGCGATTATCTGATTCCAGGATTTATATCAGCAGGATGTAAGGATTTAATTAAAAAGATACTGAATACTGACCCGAATACTAGGCTTAAGACACATGAAATCAGAAGTCACGAATGGTATGGTTAGATATAATCAGTAGAAATGGAAGGTATTATAGTAGGGGCAGATCCAATTCCAATTATAGACGATATCAAATAACTGATAGATGAAGGAACTTTCTCATTCGAAGATGTTGAAAATACTGAAAAATATATTAAAAATAATAAACATAACCCTATTACAGCCACCTATTATCTGTTAATGAAAAAAACAGAGCGTGAAACTGGTAAAAATCTAGTTTTTGAAAGAGTAACAAAAGAGAAAAGAAGTTATAATAGTACTGGTAACTTAGGATAACCATAAAAAAACTAACTCTAGCAAACTGTGTTATATTTTAGAGGAAATAGCTAATAAATCCCTAATCTTAATAAAGCATAAATGATGAATCAAACTACAATGGAAGGGTTTAAAAATAATAATTAATCAAAAAGTGAGTCTAAAACAAGAAGTAATCGAGACAATAGCTTTAATATTGGAACGAGTGAATTTTTCAATAATCTTAATCCGGTTACAAAGCAATATCTAAAGCAAATCGAGAAAACTTACGTTAATAGAAATGACTCAATAAGCACACAAAATGAAGATGAAAATCGAAAGGTAGTGATAGATAAGTATAAGTAGTTTAGAGATACTGTGGATGTAGCTAAATGGATACAGAATGGATATAATAAGGGCTAATCTGCGATGAATGTAACTCAAAACTATGACTAGTCATTTATGGAACAAAGATTATAAAGAAATGCCTAAAGTAAAGATAGATAAGGTAATGAAAACAGACCAACCAGCAACGACAATAACAAAAATTACTCAGTATTTCAGCCATCTAATAATTCTTTTATGAGAGATGGACTGCCTATTGTATCTCAAGGTGGGGCAGTTGTAAAGCACAATCAAAACAAATCTCTTTAGCATCGATTAACAATGTATAATTACAATCCTTAATAGAATGGTAGTAATTAACAAATAAAAAATCAGCTTTTTACTTAGATTAATGGCTAAAAGTTTAACTTGAGCAATATGAACTCTGCTAAAAATTAATAAAACATTGAAATAAATCAAAAGAAAAACAAGAATAAACTTTAGATTTAGGAGGTAATAGATATAAATAATGATTATGGGACAGATGTGGTTAATTCCTCTGGACCCTTAAGCTCTAATATAACTTAAAAGGCTCATTAAATAAAGAAAAACCCAGAGTCTAATTTTAGCATGTACACTATATATAGACCTAAAGTTACTAATGGTTTAGCCTAGTAAAATGCGATGGTAAATAATCATCATAGCTTTATCAATGACAGAAATGATTCAATCTTAGAAAGAAAAAATGATGCAGTCAATAACACCGTCATAGAAAAAGGAAGTCATAACAAATTATTGAGTGAACTCTATAGTACAAGCGGCAAAAAATTCTATAATAGCAATGTTCCATATAACAAACTAGCTACTGCGACAGCTTAAAACTAGAATCTGCAAGTTTTTAATAACAACATAATTTTACCTTTTCAGGTAAACTCAGGAATAAAGACATCAACTACTAAGTAGTAGGCTTAATATTCAAATCAAATCATGCAGAAAAATAATAATGATTCTGTGTATAATAGTACTGCTGACACTTCAGTAGGAGGTGGAGGAGTAGGGTTAAACATCTCTAATCAATAAATATCTACCATCAATGGGATCAAGCAAATAAATCAAAATTTATTGTTCAACTAAAAAGGAGGTATGCATTTTCCCATAATTGATTAATTTTATAGATTTCAGGGTAAAGTTAGCAAATAATAACGGAATAGCAATTAATAAAAAATAACATTTGAACAATAGAAAAATTTTGATACTATGATAATATACCGATACATTTATATTTATTTATCTATTAATTCATAAGAATAGATAACACTATCTTAAACTGTGTGGGGTTTTGGGGTTTTGGGG